TAAAATATGATAACGTTCTCGTGTATCCTGTCCTCTCCTCCCACCTTCCCTTCCCCTTCTTTCCCCCAAATCGATATAATCAAAAGATTTATCGATTAAAAGCACCGTATCGAGCGTGAGAATGTCGACGAACGATCGAACCTGTACGAGACATGGAGTAAAAATATTACTTCAATGGGAAACTATCGAAATGGATCGTATACATATTGATATATATATATACACATATATACCGTAGGCATATATAGATAGATATATTTAACGGCTTTCATAAATGAGTGACTGTATGAACAATTTTGTTCAGCTAGATATTTTTCTTTCTTTTCATTCTTTTTTACGTTTTTGTTACTCGTTTTAAAAAAGATATACAAAAAATACAAAAAACGAAAAAGAAGAAAAAGAAAGAAAAATCTGATAGCACGATAATCCGACGAGAAGTATATTCGTCGATGGGTAACACAGTGGATTCGTAAGCTCGTCAACGAATAAAAGCATCGATCAGATCGTAAAATTCGCAAGAAGGAAATCGTCGAATATAAATTTTACCCCATGTGATTTTTCGTTCTCTTATTATCTGAAATCGTTGGGAGGGTGAGAGAGATATTGTTCGTTCGAAAAAAAAACGCGAGAAAAGTTATTTAAAATATTCATATGGAGAAAAACGATAGATCGAAACACTCGAGGGGGAAGGAGAGGGTTGAGGGAGTTCATGAATTTATCTTGCGAATCAGGGGTTGGAAAATCAACGATGATCTTGAGAATAAGGTAGGGAAAAAAAGGAAGAAAATAAGATGCCGTTAGACGATTTGTTTCCAATTTACAAGATTGCTTTACCGCTAGCTGCGTCATTCCAAGAATTTCCATTTGCTTGACAAGCCGACATCTTGCGACATCGTAGAAAAAAAAGGGGAGAAAATGGGAAGAAAAGGGGAAAAAGAGATAAAGAGAGTATATAAAGACAAGAAACGTTTTATGAGCTAGTTTAACACCTACCAATCGGATCCAGGCACGAGATTCTGAATAAATTAGCATTTAACCAAGCGCGTGCATTCTCACGCATTCCAGTTTTTATCTATTCGCGTGGAGATAAGATTACTTTCGTACTCTCGTTTAATCTAACAATCAGCAACAAAAACTAAGATAGAAAAAGGGAGAGAAAGAGAGAGAGAGAGAGAGGAAAAATCTTGTTTCACTTTTAAGATCTTCTAGTTGTAAAATATTTGACCGTTGACAAAAGTTTCGTGAGACTCGTTTTCAAGAGTCGATTCACCGACAAGTACCTTTTTTCCTTTTTATTATCTCTTTTTACCTTCCGATCCTCGTTCCTTGGCACCTTTAACGATCCACGTACGATAAGTCCTATTGAAACTTTTCAAAGTGGATACTTTTGCTTCGCAATAACGCTATGACAACGAAGCAAGGAGAAACATTTCTTCTTGAAAAACTTTTATCTCCTACGCTCGAAGAATAATTTCTCGTTACTGATTCACGAGAGAAATTGGATAAAAGAAATATTTTCATTGTCCAAAAAAAAAAAAAAAACAGAAAAAAAACCTACAGTGTCGATTGATTAAGAATAATAAAGAACGAACGAAAAAGAATAAATCAAGTGTTGGCTCATCTATGAATATTACAAAATATTGAAGAAATAAATTTTCTCAGAGATATATAAACTTAGAAATATAGGCTAAACGGTGGGAATGAACTAAAACTGGAAGAAGAAAAGGAATATTTATATATTAAATATACGATTCCAAGAACAGGAAGATAAAGTGCGTTTCGAAGTGCACGTTTTGTGTTCTCCGGGGAGTTTGAACGGAAAGAACAGGCAAAGAGTGGAACAGTAGGAAGTGGGTGGGAGGAATAAGAGGAGGAGGAGGAGGAGGAGTAGGAGGAGTAGGAAGAGGAAGAAGAAGCTGAACGTAGGCCGGGAGTTTGTTCTTGAAAGGGTGCAAGCTGCATTTCAAACAGGACCTAACTCCTTACTCTTCGAGATCCTTACTCGGGTATTAAGTCTACGTTGGTTTCGCCATCATGACTCCTTCGTCATTGCTTTTTTTTCTATTTCTCTTCCTCTCTCTCTCTCTTTTTCTTTCTTTTTTTCTTTCACTTTTTTTGGTTCTATTTGTCACCGTTTCCTTTTATTATGGTTCTCGTTATTTCCATAAAATTCTTTTAATTGTCAAAACTTGCGTCGTGTTATTTCACTAAAAGACGTTATGAAATCGTGTCGTGGCTCGCAAATGTTACAATAAAGAAAAAGAAGAAAAATGAGTCGTGGTAACGAAACGCGCGGTCGCATGTTCGAACTTTCACTCGTCAGAGACTAAACTCGAGTGATAGTGGAGATTCATTCATTCATTTATTTTCTCTACTACCACTCGATGATTTTATTCTCGGATTGAATAAAAATTCATTCTTTCCAATTAGCGATATGGCGATTTTTATCGAACAATTTATGCTTTTTATAACAACCCCAAACACACATGATGCATACACACAAACATGTAGGTAAATGTACACACGACGACAACGTTGACCTTTTTTATACTGGATAACGAAGTAAAAGAGATTCATGGAAATAAAATATTTGCGACAATTGTTAAAGCTTTTGTCAATTTGTCGTTAACGTTACGCGCCGATTTGATATTTTTTCAATCGTATTTCAATACAACATAATTTCTAGTGAAAAAACAAATGACTGATTGATTTCGATTTTCTCAAAATCACTTCATGTAATTATTTCTTCAAAAGATTTTCTCCAAATATTTCAAACGACGTGATGATAGAAGAATTTCAAGAATATAAATGAGAAACGATGACAAGATGCTAAGCATTGAAAGAATTCAAAGACTATTCGAAGAATCTTCAAAGAATTATTGAAGATAGTCAAACAACGTTTGTCATATAACACGCGGACTTTCTTTGTCTTTTCAAAAATAAAGATTATCTTCTTCGATATTCGACACTTTTGTAAGAGTATCTCAAAATTCTAAACGGCGAATCGATATACGGTAGTATCAAGTGAAAGACTTTGAAGAATTCGAGTTAATGACATTAAGTGTATCTTCTATACCAACAAACGTTTCTAAAAGATATCACAACCCGAGTAATTACGAAGAGCTTAAACAGTTTAACCAGATTAAAATTACATTTAAACAAGAAAAGAAACAAAAAATGAAAAAGAAAAAAGAAAGAAATTAAAAAAGGTATTCTTTTAGGAAAAATAAATAATAATAAAATGTATATATGTGTATGTGTGTATGTGTGTGTGTGTCACATTTCAATCGGCTAGATATTTTTCTATTTCAAAGCAAACGAACGAACGAACGAACGAACGAAACGAACGAAACGAACGTAGAGATTTTCTAGTGAAATCAAATCCTCGACAAAAAGTCGAAGTATTTGAAAGAACGAAACGATCAGAAAGAACCATCATTAAAGCTCCTTTGAACTTTCGAGCGTAAATCTTGCGAACGATGCACCGGCACTGTAGAATAGTATTTCACAACGTTTCTGGAAAAGGCCGAACATCCTTCGAATTTAGTAGGCGTAGTATAGAGTGAGGGTGTAGACGTTTCCGGGACATCCGATCGAGAGTCTAGGTAGGAATAAAAAGCTAATCTCATTCCCAAGCCCAGTTTGGGACCAACCTTTCGACAAAGCTTTCGCTTTCTCGTTTCTTCCCCTTTCCACAATTCCGTCGAAAAAACTTTCAGCTAGAGATAACTTTGATGGTCCTAGTAGTATCGGTAGATGTACGTCGATACTTTTCTACTATATCCGGGTTTTTTCTTCTCTTCCACGAAACTTCCGATAAACTATTTCACGATCAAATTCACGTAACACACGTGTAGTTTCACCGAATAAGAACGTGTGTTCTGACACTCGTAGAAGAAGAACTATTCCCTTTCGTTCCTTCTATTTTTTATGTTTTCTTTCTACTTCCTTTGTTTATTTTGTTCTTATGGAACGAACAACGTTCAAAGATAGAAGCAAGTGAAAAGAGAACAAGAAAGTAAAAAAATAGGTCGATAAGGTGTGTATTATTATTCGTATATTCTTCCTTTTCTTATTTCTTCACATCGACTAATCACTATAGATGTAGAAAATATTAGTCGAAGGATAAAGTAATCAAATAAATAAAAATAATCAGAAAGAGAAAAATCTTTCAAACACAATTACCACACACACAAAATACTATTTTACGTGAAAGTTGACAAACTTTTAAGCGTGAAACACTCGCGGTGATTTAAGAAGACAAACTCGCACTTATTTTATTTTCCCGCCAGTACGGTGACCGGGGGGTTAGAAACATTTCCGGTTTCCCCTGTTAGAGAGCGAGACGGTACTGAAACGTTCGCGAGATTCCTCTGCGAGAGGTGCCACCCTCGGCAACGGGGCTGTGGCCCGATCGCGCCTGCGTTACGCTCCTGCGCGCGTATAACTTCGCCATTTTATCTCTCTCTCTCTCTTTCTCTCTATCTTTCTCTTTTGTATCGTACAACAGCCTTGCCAGAGCGACGAGTGTCGCTAACGTTTGTCATTAGAATATTTTTCCATGTGTTTACTTTAAATTCTTCTAATTACCGTCCTCCTCACCACTCTTTATACTTCTCTCCACCCTCTAACAAAACCCTCTTCTTCCCATATCCAATTAATGTTACGCGCAACGGCCACGTTGATTCAATCCCCGATGTCACATTTTCCTCACCTCGAAATACAAAACATTCCTCTCTGTTCTAACGTTTTATATCGTTAACTATTTTCATTAATTTCTACTAAAATAATTTTTTTTCTAAAGCTTTCCATATAACAATCTTGAGTTTATCGTGATTATCAAAGGAATTCTTCATAGTATGGATTAAAAATTTGGACTATTTGTTTAACGTTAAATTTGATTGAATACCGTTTAACTTTTTTGTTTTTCTTTCTTTTTTATGTTCATTTTTAATTCATTCTAATGGTTTTGCGTATGCTAAAGAAGGAAAAATGAAATTAATGTTACGCGTGTGGTACGAAAATTGAAAGAAAAAAAAGCGAGCAAAAAATGAAGGGTCCAACAAGTTTTGAAACGAATTCCTCGAGACAGCACAGCTTCGGGATACGAGTTTCACCCTGATGATGGTTTTTTGTGAAACAAGGTAAAACTCTGTCATTTCCATATCTTTATTTCTCAAACTCGCTTAGTATTATATTTCACGCTTATATACAAGCGTGTATTGTACATATGTACGTATTTAAATTGTTACATATTTTCTTATTTATGATATGTACTGAAACGTTAATCTTTTGTAGTACGGGTTATGGTAAAAGCTCTCGTTTTGCATAATTCTTTGCAATCGAAAAAATATTATCCCGTTAAAAATTTTTCTCTATATTTTTCTTTAATAAGGAAAAAAAAATCGAAAATGAACGTTCAAATAAAAGATAGAATAATTGAAAATAAGGTAAAGATAATATTTATCGATAAATTCCAATATTATATTAAATAAAATTAAATATTAAACTCTAACGAACGTTATTATTATTAATTAACGTTGATACACACCTACCGTAATAATTTTTACTAAATGAATATTTATAAGTCAATCAAATTCGTAGTTAATTTCGATCCAGTAATAAAAATATATTTTACGAATTTTTAATTAAAAAACCGTCCAACGAATTCAATTAACAAATAATATGATTATTAATACAATTGAAACGAACGTAATAAGAAGAATAATCCGAGGGGTTTTATTTTTTTATGTATAAATCATTCTTTATTAAATAATATATGTTTAAATATAATAATGCTTAGTCTCTCTTTTCCCTTTTTCTTATTTTTACAAAAAATAATTTACGTCCGGTGAGCTTTTAAAGGTTATCCTGTCAACTTGAACAGTGACCTTCTTTTTATCATCCATTTTATATTTTCATTCTATCTCTTGGAAGCATAAAAATAAAAAAAGAGGAAGAAAAAGAATGTAGAAAATTAGAGCAATTACGAGGACGCGCGATAATTCTTTTAATCTTTCTCTTTCTCTCGCCCTTAAAATCTTCGCCCTTAGTTTGTCGGTCTCTCGTTGATTTAACGAAACGCAAAGAGAAAAGATGACAGTGCAACAAACGCGTGGGACTCGTTTAAGAAATGATATCGAGCTTATTTTTACTGTTTTTCTTTCTTCTGTCTCTTTTCATTTTTTTGTTTCTCTTTTCTTCCCTTTTTATCGCGAGTCCTATGGGGTTCTAAGTGCTTATATGTAAACGTTTTCTGTATGTGAATATCGTAGGACATTGTTTCTCGTTAATTAAACGTCTTGTTGTTTATTAAAAGATCAAGTTGGTAAAAGGGGTCGGTCAGATGTAACCGAATGAAACAATCGGAAAAGTGTGTTTGACAAAGAAGAGATTGCCGATGACCCATATAACCCTTTCAATTCTATTATTAGGATTTACTTAATGGGCTTTTTTAAAATTTATATTCAAAGCAAGTTTAACTAAAATAGACATTGTCTTTATTTTCATATTATTTTCTATTTTTGATATGCTTTAAAAATCTATGTAAAAATTATTTTGCTTTGTTTTCTACGTTCAAAATACATTGTACATCTATATATAGACACACATTTATAATCTTTAATATTTAATATAATATATTTCTACGTAAACTTAAGGATAAAACTGATCCTAAGATCTTTTTGATATTATTTTATATAATAGATAAACTACATCATTAATTTTTCAATTAAATCTATTGATCATTAAAAGGATTAATAGAACATTGAAAATATATGAATATAGTTTCCAATTAAATAATAATTAAGTAACAACAACAACTCGAGTTTTGACAAAGTCGGGGATCAATTTGAAACAATAAGGGTCGATTAATTATTATTCTTGTTATTTACCGTGACAGATTCCATATGGGAGAAAGCAAACCATAGGAGACACACTACCACCGTACGATGAGGTCGAAGTCAACGGAGACTAGAAGCAACAACGAGGAACAGGTTCTGTAGGAACTGCATTCAAGAGCGAGGAGTGGATGGAACGGTTGACCTCTGCGGACGACGGAGCCGTCATGCGAGTCATTAACATAACAAACGCATAATAATAGCTTGTAGGCATTACTGTTACCGCTACGTCGACTCTCGGGACGTTGGAGAATCAAGTCGCTTACACTAACCTTTGTATTTATGTACGTATCCAAGTATACATATGTTATACTAAGTAAGGTTGGTGGATTTCTCAGAGAACAGGCTACTACATTGCACGTTCTCCAGCGATTTCAACCCCTCAACCCTCACCCCTCGAGGAGTGCACGAGTTTGTTTATATTTCCAATAACAAAATTTTACTAGTAATTATACGAAGTTGAAAGTAAAAATTACAAGAAAAAGAAGAAAATGGAAAAAATGTCGAAAGGTTAAGAAGGTAATATAAAGAGAAAAAAAATCTAAGTATATGTTTAAAAGAAGGGGGAAAAAAAAGGAAAAATTAAAAACAAATACAAAATGCGAGATTCGTCGTCATGTGACGACGAGTTCGTCTGAAACTAACAGCAAATCAAACGCCATTAATAGTTTGTAATACACAGAGATCTTTGATTTATGATTCATCAGTTGGTAGGAAAAACGAGTTAAGAAAAATCGATTCGAATTTGGAACGAATTACCATCTGGTGAAGTGTGAAATTACGCGCGATCCTTGCCGACTACCACTACTACCATCACCACCAACATCGTTTTCTTTCTTTTTTCTTTAACTCTTTTCCCTTTTTTTTCACCCTATGTAACCTATTTTTACATTGAACCGCAAGAATATCGAAGAGTTACTCTTTATTTTCTTTCACGTTATACAATAATATAAGCTTTTTTTCATGACTTATTCAAAATTTTCAATTGCTTCTAGATTTTCTTCAAGTTTTAAGTGAAGCCAGCTACCAACAACCACGAGGTCTACGAAATTTACCTTTTCTATTCTATATCTTTCTTTTTATTTATTTTTTCTTTAAAAAAAAAAAATAAAATAAAATAAAAAGAAAAAAGGAAACCTTTTAGAATATGTTAATACACATGAAAGCATATGAAGCGTATAGAAAACGCGTGTAGGAGTGGGGATAAAAGATCCATGTAGAAACTTGAAGTAAACTGTGCCGGTATTACACTGTAAGTGCATCCATCGAGTTGGTTACGCACGCTATTCTTCATAGTGCGTTCATGCAATCGTTTAACGTATATATATGTATGGGTATATGAATGTACTCTTATCTGATAATACGTAAAACGATAGAAAAGAACATTTAAAGCATCTTCACGTTGAACAGCATCCATTGCTGGGTGCTGCTTATGCTCCTGGCCTCTAGAGTGCATTCTGCGAAAGTGAGAAAAACATAGTAGAGGAGAAATAAGGTTGGAGGTTAATAGGCGAACGGGCATGCGCGCGGGAGCGCATGGTCTCCGACCAACAGGGAGAAAAAGATTTATCGTCCTCGAAAAATCCATAATACCGACAAAGTTAAAGTATATTGAATGCTGAATAATTGAATTCGCCTGCTTTGTGAATACCGTTTTTATTATTATTAGTATGGAATATATATTTCTTTTTACAGAGAATTTTAATGGAATCGTAAAACCATACGAATTTTCTTGTAACTATAGTTAAACGTATTTAGATAGAAACACGATCGAAAAAACAACAAAATATTCAATTGCGATTTCAACGTAACTTGAATGTTACGATCATTTGTTGTCTTTTTTACCTATCAACATTTACTGGTAGAACGATTTATTTCCATACAGGGTAATATTAAAGAGATATTATATAATTGAAAGATGTAAGCTACTCATCGAGAGTTGTTTTTTCATTAGTTCATTTTGAATCACTCTTTTCGAATCACTTGTATTTTTTAAAACACAGTATCTCGAAATATGACACCGGTTCGTAAGAATCGTTTATCATTGATTCGTTCTAAAAAATTGACGACTTGATTTTTTCTTTTCATTTTCTCTTTTTTTCGTTTTAGTTTGTCTAGAATTTAATAAAACAAAGTAGAAATACAAAGATTTAAAAAGAGATTTCACTCGTGGAAGAATTAAATTTTTCAAAGAAATTATACGCTTGTGTTATATGATTTCTGATCGAGTTGCTATTACGGTTTATGTATACGAAAGAGTTCAAGAAAAAATGAAAAAACGAATAACACACACATACACACACACACACACACACATATATTATCTCTCTTTCCCTTTATTTTTTTGAAGAGAATTATTTGAAAAACCACGAGAGAGAGAGAGAGAGAGAGAGAGAGAGAGAGAGAGAGAAAAGAGAGAAAGAGGGAGAGTATCGTTGCGTTGAAAATTGTGCGAAGGTAGTAACGTTTAATCTTTTCTTCAGTTTTGCTTCTCAAAGCTATAGAAGTTTCCCTTTGGTGGATGCAAAAACGCGAGAAAGTTACGACGATCTCAAAGGGAATCCATGAGACATGAACGAGGAGAAAGGGAACGAGATTCGGTAAAGTTCGCGGAGCTTAAAAACTTTTATGATCGACGTTAAGAGAGGACGCTACGTAAAGATATTAATCTCTTTTCTTTTTTTCTTTTTTTTTTTTTTTTAGTCATCCCAGGATCGTTTACCACGATAATATAATCGTTGGGTTAGAGAGTATACCTAAGTATAATTAACGTTGACATAGTCAAAAGATCATATGCAGCCGAGTTATACTGCAACGTGACGATGACTTTGTCAATAAATTTTCTTCTTCGCGTTGAAGGGGAGAAGTCGGAGGGCGGTAAGAGAAGAAGGAAGAGAGGGAAAATGTGTCTTCGATCGAATATCACGTAATATGATATTTTGTTAAAATAAAACCCCGATCGATCGATAAATGCAAAAAAAAAAAAATAGAAGAAGAAATTAAAGAAGAAAATAACGAACGATGAAGTTTATCGATTAACGCGATGGTAAGAACTTCGTCGTCGATGATGGTGATGGTGGTGGTGGTGGTGGTGATGGCGTAAAGACGTTTCGAAAAGCTTATTTTGTTACGTTCTTAACGAAGAAGAGTTAGAGGAGGAGCAAGAGGAGAAACTCGTTTCGAATGAACGCCTGGTAATTCCATCGGATTTGAAGGCGGCTTAACGATATTGGGCTAGCCTACTTTCTCGAAGCGCATTAATTCGCCGGCTACTATGAAAGTGCAACGAGGAACTATGGATAGGAAAGGAGATGCTAGAAATAGCTTGATAAGGAGAAGAGATAGATAGATACACCCTTCCTTCCTTCGTTCTTTCGTTTTTTCGTTCGTTCGTTCGTTCGTTCGTTCGTTCGTTCGTCACGGTAACGCGTTTATAGAGAATTTTTCTTTTATCGAATTTCCGAAAGTGTCTTACGTTTTTAAAACGCGTTTATTTTTCTCTCTTTATACTCTTTTTTTCTTTTTTACTCTGACCTACTTACAAATGACGTCTCGAAAAGATTTAGATCGATTCTTTTGAAAAAATAAAAAGAAAAAAAAACTACAAAACACATTACATCCATTTCTCTGTTACTTTATTTATAAACGATTTCGTTACGTGTTTCTACTTTCTACTCTTATATATATAAGTATATGTAAAAGTGAAATATCGAGAACGAAAAACGATTCGACTTTGATCGATGATCAAACCGATCTTTCCGACAAATGACCTGTTTATTTCCAAAGCAAATTTCATGATAAATCACGTGACTGAGAGATTGAGAAGGAAAGTATATGTAACATTTTTAACAATAATTGCAGATAAATGTATAACTACGAATTATACATACTACATTTTGTTTTTATCGAATTCCCATAATGTCTTGTTACCTGATAACAGTTATTTTACATCTACTTATACAAATTCTTTTTCATTTCAGAATTATAGAAATATATTTGAAACATTATTAATAAAATCTTAATAAATTTACTCGAATATCCATTTAGTTAAATTGTATACAAAATTTATTCATTATTTATAATAATGAACAAATTTTGAAGTAAATTTTCTCAGAAAATGTTGAAAGTAAGTTAATAGCTCTTTCTTCTTCAGTTAGACAATTGTATTTACGATTCCGATTTATTTATTTTTTTAAAGCCATCACCAAAAACGAAATTTGACTTACTATGCTTCGAAATAAAATACGACACAAATTTATATTACAAGTAAAGTGAATAGAATTGTCGATTTGTTCAAAAATATCGACGACGAAATGCATAAGCGAAAATCATTGGGTGGTGTCCGACAGAAGGGTGAAAAGCGATTTCGTAGGGGTACGATCGGTCATACGGTTTGGGAAAATCGCATTAACGTGGAGTTAACATCCGCGATATCGGTGGTTTCGGATCACCGGCCAATTATCGCAACCCGCCGGCAAGCAACGACGAATCGGCGCCGAAATCGACGTAGCCCGTACGAATTTCGTTCTCTACCCACCTCCTCTTCCTCTTCCTCTTCCAAACTAACTCTCCTCGTAATTTTCCACCTGCGTAAAAGCCTTCCCTTCTGACTAGACTATCTCAACCAACAACCCCTTTTCTCTCTTCAGTTTTCTACACGAGTAATCAGACGTGAAACCTTAGTCAGGGTATTATTCGCGAATAATTCCTCTACCTCCGTGCCCTTCTTCAATACCGCTCTTTAATACCGAAACGAACAATTTTCCTTTTATTTCTAAACAATTTTCATTTAAATTATGACAAAGTTTTGTTATTTTTATTTTTAATTTGGAATTTTTACCGAATTTTCATCTTGCCTAAAACAAAATCTTATACTATAATATATAAAGAATAGTATGATATAGAATAAATGATTATAAATTTTTTCCCTTTTTCCTTTTCTATATTTTACTTCTCTTTAATCTTTAAGATAACGAAAAGAGTGACGATGGCAGAAGAAATAAGGGTTTTCAAGTGCACGATTTCGTGCTCATTCGTGCGTCATCAAATAAACGACGAATCTCTCTACGCTTGAATTACTCGCAGTTGAGAGAAGAGTCATGATAAATTAAATACCGAAGGAAAAGGGAAAGGTAATGTGTCGCATTGATTTACTCTTGGGATTTCTTCTCACATTACCAATGAACGTTAAGAACGTGTGTCCGTGATTCAAGAATGATCCCGAGAGAAATCACGCCAAGTATTTTACAGTTGAATTCATTATCGGACGACGATGCTTATTGTCTTAAATTTAAAAAAAAATAAAAATAGAAGACATCTCAACTATTCGATTGCAAATAGAATTTTGCTCTGCCGAACTTGTAATTGAAATAAAAGTACTATTATGTTTGTCAATTTTACTTTTCTTACCGAACGAGAACGCTTTTTACGTTGAACTTGGAATTTATCATTAATGACAAATGATAATATTCAAACTCTTGAAATGTTTTAACTCAGATATTACGTTTACTTCGAGTTACGATGCAATTGAATTAATTAATATTGGATCACGTAAATACCTGAATGCCAATTTTTTGCGTAAAGCTTCTCCCGATCGTTTGATAAATCTCTCTGACTTACCTGCAATAAGAAAAAATAAGATAAATTAGTTAAAATTTATTATAGTAATTTAAATATCTTTCTGAGATTCGAGTATTCGAAGAATGAATTGGTAAGTAATAATTATTCTCGTAGTTTTCATAGACTCGAATAAAATATTTCATCGAAATTAAGTGAGCTTTTCCTAAAAGGAACGAGTTAGATCGTAAATCATAGAAATAGTGGCAATTGCGATTCCGAGAACGTCATTCTTAAGTCAGAGACTTTTTGAATAGTGTTAGAAGGAAACGAATGAAAGGTGCGATGTAAAGTTCTACAGAAACGATTTGACTTAATTATCATCAAACAAAAGTCTATAGAGTCGTGTCTCTTTTGATCGTCATACCGAATTCTTCTTTTCTTATTCTCAAATGAAGTCATTTTAATAACGTAAGTTAAATGGATAATACGTAATTGTATAAATGTAGGTATTATCATGTGTATTAATAATTTACGCAATTACTATTTAATCAAATGGAAACGTTTCATAACGCTTATCTTATTGGAATGATTTATTAATAATGAGAAAGAGAGAGAGAGAGAGAGAGAGAGAGAGAGAGAGAGAGAGAAAGAAAAAGAAAAAGAGAAAGAGAAAGAGAAAGAGAATAATCATGAACATTACGTTTTCTAATGGATCGAACTTTAAATCACGAAACTGTTGCCGAAACGATTAGTTAACATCGTTTCTTTAAATATTGATCGGGAAATGGCGTTGCACTTGAATTCGGTTGAACAACTATTGACCCATTCCATTGAAAGTTCATCGAACAATAATCGTGCGTTCGAGCGTTCTGAATGATTAATTAAAATTGCTTGGACGCGGAGCACGGAAATTACGCTTTCTTCTGGTACCCGATCGAATTCCCGAATGAAATAAATAGATGATATATAAAGAGAGGTCGAAAAGGTCATTTGCCGATATCGAAAAGAAAATGACTGCATTAGTAAAAAAAAGGATCATCACACATATATGTACATATATATATATATATATATATATATATATCTACTATCTATATACAGGAGTATATATAAATATACATGTTTACTTGTTAACGCGAGTGCAGGTTGAATAACGACGGGTCGTTTATAGTTTATAAACGGATGTTTGCTAATTGGAGAGGTAACATTTTGCATTTTATCAGTGACACCGACACGCGTCACAAATGGCAGTTTTTTTCTCTCTCTTTTTTATTTCAATTCAACATTGCTCCGAGGAAATCAAAGATAAACCGACATTGTACAATATTCTATTATATTCCCGACTATCGTTAGCTTTTCATCTACAACGTGTATATCCATTATATATTAGATTCCTCCGTGTTAACCAATTAGGTTGATTTTTTTATTAATTCATTACCAAAATAGAAAAATCAAAGTAACAAACGAAGTGATTCCAAGAAAAATAATAATTGATTATTTTCTTTATCGTTACTAACTACCATCACGTCATCCGTTAATAATAACCTCGAGCAAAGCCACGACCAAATCACATTATTTCCAAGAAACGAACTTCTATAATATAAAAATCCATGTCAACCCACCAGTCTAATGGCTGTTTGCTTTTCTCCTGCGCCTTTACTTTATTTTACCTTACGTCCAAAGGTAAAACGAAACCCGTGACTTTTTTATTATCCACTCTTAGGCTCGAGCATTTTTATTATCCTGTTTTGTTACGGCACGCGACTCGTTCTAACGGAGTTCTCTTACAACCAAAGACACATTTTTCTCGTAACCATAAATACCGTTGGCCTGGACTTTTCCATATTCTTCAGATAAATTTACGCTATGGGAGTTGGTAAAAAATATACGCGACCGAGATTACGACCCCGAACGTGTGTACTTTTAAAATAAATAAATAATGAGAAAGAGAAGAGGGGAGAAAAAATATATTGACAAAAAAGAAGAAGAAAAAAAGAGAATAAAATATCAACGACAATATTGAAATATTTTTGGCGTTCTTTTTTCACTCCCAGAAGAGAAAGATACACGACCTCTCGTTTTCTACCCTGTTTAGATTTAATTTCCAATTTGGCTATCAGCCAGACAGAGAGACGCGATATCGTTTGCCAACGTTCCGGAGCTTGAAAAATCTGTTGTACGTCGGCGCTTCGGACGCGCGATCTAATGACTTCTTATAGCTTTAAGGGACACACCGTTAATCTATTTTTCTTTAGCGAGAAAATACGAAGCAAGAGGTACGACCACAACGGTGCGGCGTTGGCTGTACCTCTGGTAATTTTCTTATAATCTCGGACTACTTGTAAAATGAAAGTACCCAACTTTAATAGGTTGAAAAAAATAGTTGAAAAAAAAAATATTCGAGCTATAAGTACTAAAGTACTACTTGATTCAAATTTTCTTATTAAAAGAAAAAAAAGGCTATTATTTATGCGTTGGTTTAAACAAATAAAGAAAATTTCGATAAAATTATTTAAGCAGTTTTATTTTTTTTTTCTAATTGGGAAGAGTAGTTGTTAATGAATGTTTGGCGATAAGATTTAGATCTTTGACTAAAGACAAGCGTAATCCCATAACAGAGCGTCATTTAAGTCAGAGATGATCTTAGGTTTATCGTTGACAAAGGAAATGTGTTGCACATTAATGTCCTTTGCTATTAAAGATTATATTGTAATAACAGTTAGGGGGGGGGGGTGTATATCGTTTGTAAGATTCACTTCGTGGAAGTCAGTATTAATGGAAACATTATACCATTTAAGACTGTTTAACTATTTAGACATTTCTGTCTGCACGCGATTATTGTAGATACCGGTTATGATTACGGAGAAAGTGAATTACATCCTTGAAATCAAATGATGATTAAAATCTTGATTATCATAGGAACTAAACTAATCCTATTCATGAGAATTCCATGATCGTTGAAATATTATCTCGAGAAAAGAATAATTCAAAGAATAAATAAAAAAAAAAACAGAAACTTTATTCGTTCACTTTATTATTATCGGAAAAGCTTATTTTTTTAAATGCTTTTCTATTACGGAGTAATATAATATTACCCTCCTCCCCCAACATTTATAAAATAGCTTTTTAAAATGATTAATCATCCAAATACCTTTTTAAATTGAATCTCATCGTAGTCTTATCATTTCATTTTTATCCTGTATATCAGAAAATACCATTTTCAATTGAGCTATAAAATTTTGAGTAAAAAATGTTAAACATTTAATAATCAGATATTATTAAAAAATAAAACTAAAAATTTAGCAGGAAATTGTAGTATCACCCTGTTTATTTCGTAAAATTAAGTAGAAAAGAGAATGAGATGCGGAAGATTTGTGAAATGATACTTTCTTTGGGGTATTTTCTTTTTTCCTGTTTTTTTTTTTCTCTTTTATCAGACATTAAAGCACACTCCCGAGACAAGACTGAATTACGACGTGGAACGATAGCGTCCTACCCATTCGTGGTTTCTTCCTTTCGTTTGGAAGGAAAACATGTGCGAGGAAGTATAAAATCTTTAACGATGCAAGTCGATCCGGAAAAAAAGGCTCGAAAGAAACGGGTTGGGTATTATGATAAGAGTGAAAAGAAGACTAAAAGAATGTTGCGGAGGGAAAGGGATGATGGGAGAACGAGGGAGGGGAGGGAAGGGAACGGGGTGGAAAATGTAATTAACTCGGGATACGGGCCATCAAGTAACGCCCATGTCATCTTGCATTTCCTCCCACGTCCGTTTCTTCAAAGATTTCGTTAGCTCGCGAATCGATAAAACTGCTCGTAACGACGAGAGATGCGATAGTTACCGTCTCTTCAAATTTCTTATAATCTCGCCATCTCGACGTCCTTGAACGACGTCGTTTCGAAAAATAAAACGTTTTCCATACAGGAATATCCTGAGAAAAATGGAAATGCACCGATTTAAAACGCACCTACGCGATTTCAAACAAAATTTCAATTTCGTTCGATAATACTCTTACTATGTAATAATAAAATTCACATTGGATTTGTTAATATATAAAAGAAAAAAAAATTATATTAAAATGTTATTCGAAAAAGATGAACATTTTTATATGATATTAAAATAATTTATTAGTTATAGTATTTTATAATTTGAAGAAAAACATTTAAAAATATATATTGAAGTATTTAATTGAAATCATCATAATTGAAAATGAAAAAGGCGATCGAAAGGAAACTAAATGTCGATTGAACGAAACTATTAAAAATTACGTTATCGATAGTTCCTTTAAAGGATCGAACCTTGTTTATTTTTCTATGAATAATTCATACGTATCTTTTTGATTAATTTAAAATTTGTCAAAATTTAAGTATCCTTAATCGACAAGAACTAAAGGTGGGAACGAACGGATTCATTGAAAAAAATCTTGCGTCCGATTGAAGATCGGTCGAGGTTTCGTGGATCGAAAAACGTGGCGTTATCTTCCGCTTTCTGGTTAATTAAATTTGCATTTGCCAAGTTTTGGCCATGTGCCAAAATCGCCGATAGGCCGTCCCTTTCCTCTCCCTCCCCCACTTTAAGCCTTTCTCTCTCTCTCTCTGTCTCTCTCTCCTTTTTCGTCCATCCAGTTCGTCGATCGTCGATCCATTTACGGCGATGCGAAAGCAGAAATCCCTTAATCCTGAAAGGACGTCTACCTTAAAGCTACTTTG